GACGGTTATTCTTCTCTTATACAAAAAAAAGAGGAAGAAAAGAAAGACAACAGAAATGGAAGATCATATTCTTCGTTCAATTCATACTTAGTTCCTTTCACAATTCGAACCTGTGACTCTCCTCTGAACTGAATATTCAGTTCCTCGACTAATCCATTTGGTTTTCGTTTTGCAAAAGGTTGATTCTGGCGTAATATATATATATATATTCATCTTTTGCATCTAATTGATTAGTGCAGCTTTGTCCGTTCAGTGGATTAATTTTTAGTTCTCTGATTCGTACATTAGAAAATTCTTCTTTTCTTTTTTGTTTGGTGCTGGAAGGATTTAATTCGCGCCCGCTGACTTGCAGTCAGAACATTAGTTATTTTATTATATTATGATTTAATATAATTCCAGCTAATCCTCTATACGAACCGAACGTTTAATGAACGGTCCCGTGATGTTTATTATGTTCATTTATTTATTAAACGAATGAACATGAATAAGTTTTTTTTTCTTTTAATTAAATGAATGAATACAGACATAGTGCTCGTTTGTTCATTTACGTTTGTGAATATTCGATAATATGTTCGTTCATTTATGTTCGTTTACTTCTGTTCGTTATGTTCGTTCATTTATGTTTACCCAATATCTTTAGATCTATTAAAAATATTAAGGCCCAATAAATTTTAGAGAAAATCGCCTCAGTGACCAAAAATGCCTTATAATATACGATTTTAATCAACTTTTTTTGGATTTGCCAAAATGACCAACAAAATCGCAATGCGAAACAAAAATCGCAACGCGATTTAGAAAATCGCAATGTTGAAAAGAAAATCGCAATGCTAAAAAGATAGTATCCGCACGGACGTGTCGAAGACACGTATTACCACGACCACGACCACGACCACGACCACGACCACGAGACGGCGGCGGCGGCGGAGCGCGAGAGTCCCCCTTGTTCTCTTTCACTCAACAAGGAAATGAGAAATTCAAACCTTAAATACACTTCCCAATAGTGTTTCCAATACTATGTGGGATTGAACATTACCAACAATCTTCACATGTCAACCTATTTTGCTAAGAGCTTGAGTGTGACTATAAGAGAGATTAGTTCATTTGGTATGCCAAAATTGTTTTGTTTAGTGAAAAAGGGTGGGTTGCCGTATACAAATATAATTTCTACCCGGTTATGCATACATGTGGATTTATACACAACAATTCTACATTCAAGACTCTCCTCATAGCTGATCAATTTCTTGTAGATTTTTTGTTGCTTTGTGATATTGGAGATAAAGTTACAAGTTATGATTTTAAATTCTCTGGATGGAACTGGAAGCATAGTTCAAGTTTATTACAAGGTCCAAGTTCCACCAAAGGTTGCAGGGACATCATTTCACGATAAATAAAGCAATTTACTTGGCTTATGGTTTATTAGTTACACTTCTTCAAATGAACTAATCTCCAACAATTTTAGTGAATGGCACAGTCAAATTAAGCACACAAAATAGGTTGACATGTGAAGGTTGTTGGTAATGTTCAATCCCACATAGTATTGGAAATACTATTGGGAAGTGTATTTAAGGCTTGGATTTCTCATTTCCTTGTTGAGTGAAAGAGAACAAGGGGACTCTCGCGCGCCGCCGCCGCCGCCTTCTCGTGGTCGTGGTCGTGGTCGTGGGTGGCGTGGTCGTGGTCGTGGTCGTGGTCGTGGTCGTGGTCGTGGTCGTGGTGTGTCGTGGTCGTGGTCGTGGTCGTGGTCGTGGTCGTGGTCGTGGTAATACGTGTCTTCGACACGTCCGCGGATACTATCTTTTTAGAGAAAATTTTAAGAAACAAATGCAATACGAACAACTCTACTGCTTTTGAGATTTTCTTTTGCCGTTTTGCGATTCTTGGAATCGCATTGCGATTTCTCAATCGCGTTGCGATTCTTGGAATCGCGTTGCGATTTTCTCAATCGCGTTGCGATTATTGAAATCGCGTTGCGATTTTCTCAATCGCGTTGCGATTCTTCGAAGATCGCATTGCGATTCTTTGCCTCGCATTGCGATTCTTGGAAGATCGCGTTGCGATTTTCTTTTGACCGTTGCGATTTTCTTTTCAACGTTGCGATTTTCTAAATCGCGTTGCGATTTTGTTGGTTTTTGGCAAATCCAAAAAAGATGATTAAATCGTATTTATAGACATTTTTGGTCACTGAGACGATTTTCTCTAAATTTAATATGATACCCATTAATATTTTAAAATTCAATTAATTTTACAAACAAAAAAAGCCCAAACAAAAATACAAATTAAGTATCAACTTACAACTTATACTAATGAATTTTATGTGACTGTTGTTGTTATGGTTTATGTTCGTTCATTTGTGTTCGTTTACATTCTTTCGTTTATTGTGTTCGTTTACATCCGTTCGTTTATGTTCGTTTATTATTTAAATGAACGAACACGAAATAAGCTAAATTCTTTAACGAACGAACACGAACATGAATTTTGTTTGTTTATGTTCTTGTTCATTTATTTATTCGGTTATAGTTAATGAACGAACAAATATACCTCACTCATATTCGTTGGATTCGTTTACGAGCCTAATTCCTTGGATTATTTAACTGCATTTATTTGGCATCATACACTACGGTTTTTATTTTCTCTCTAACTGGGATTAAGTTTTTATACCTACTTTTTTTTTTTGCATTTATTAAGGAATTCATAAATTGGTAAAAGGCTTGCAGTTTGGGTTTTGAGACTGTAGGGTAGCAGTTGTTCTGTTGTTTGGTATTTTTCAAGAAGGAAACTGACTTGGTCTTTGTTTGGACTTTGAACCAAGCATGAATGTTTTTCTGAGAATAGAATCTACATTTCTCCGTTTGGTTAGTTCGGGAATTCTATTCTCGGTAATGTAAGATTACCAATAGTAGATTTTTTAGGGTATATTATCGGGAATGTCATTACATCCCTTCCTTAGGTATTGTTAGATTACCGGCGTTTTGGATTAAAATGCCCTTTTTTTTTCTTTCAAAAGTATTATTTTTCTGTCATTGAATAATAAAAATTCTACGAAGGTTAAATTAAAAATTTATCCTTAACTATTTTAGATTTACACAAAAGAATCTATAATTAAAATTTTATATGAAGTTCAGGGGTTAAAATAAATTTTACCCTTTCATTAAACCTTTTTATATTTTCAATTTTGTAAAAAAAAATTATAAATTTTATGAATTTAAATTTTTTAAAGAAAATATATAAATATTTTCCAACTTGTTAAAAAAACAAATATATAATAAGGACAATTTGGTCAAATATACATTCCAATAATCTTTTATTCGTTTAACCAAACAAGATAATCTTACATTCATGCTAAGCCAACCAAACACAAAATACAACATTCTCAGTAATTTTATTCTCTGGTAATCTTACATTTCCATTGGTAATCTTACATTCTCATTGGTAATCTTACATTCTCTGAACCAAACGCACCCTAAAAAATTTATAAGAGAAAAATAATGTTGGAATTTTGGTGTGGAATAGCCAAATCCTGAAATGACACCATTAAGCGTGTTTTTTCTTTTATATTTATTATGCAGAGAATACAGTGAAGCTGTGTTCATTACACTCCTTTGACGTCGTTGTTGTTCTTGCGTGTAGAACTAGAGTGCCAATTTCTTCTCAAGCTGCATCATGCAACTTTATTTTCAAAATGCGTCTTTGTTTATTCCTGAGAACATCTCTGTTCTTTTACGATTTGCAATGCTTAAAACCCACTTGATTTCACTGCAAGTTGCATGGAATTACTTGACACCATCTTGGTTTCCGGCAAAAGGTGTCAAAATACACTATCTGCACCAGCTAAAGTTTTCTCTGTTTTATATACAAATATAGTTATAAACCGCAATGAAATGATGTCTGCCCCACTCTGCTTTCAGTTACCCATCTTTAAAAAAAGATGTTGACTATTTTCAGGTTTGCGCATACCAATCCATTACATTTAGACGTGTTCCAGAGTGTGGGGCGATTTGAAGCTGAAGTGGTCGCTATGACAGCGGATCTACTTGGCAGTAAAGAGAAAGCCTTTGGAGGATAAGTATGTGGAAATATGACATCTGGAGGAACTGAGAGCATATGTTAGCTGTGGAAACATCTCGGGGTTACATGAAGATGTTACCTCATTCTTTCTTTAATTTTGCGTTCGATCGAATTCCCTTCGGTTGTGGATTTTAGCTGCTGCTTCCATAGGATACTAGTGGTGTATTGTGTATTACTTGTCTTCAAGTTAGAATCTATTTCGAAATTTAGCCTTTGTAGCGAGTTATTATCGAGACCGATATTCTTTCTTTTTTGATGCGATTGAACCGAGCCTTCATATCTGTGTCACTCTTCAACATGTACCGGTCGTCGATACCTTCCTCCAGGATTTGAGGAAAGCCGTACAAGCTGTAAGCATTTCCGTTTCCCTTTTACTTGAAAACACAAAGTCTTCTTCGTCGTCAATTAACGACCAAATAGTTCATCAGCCATCAGGGACATAATCTTGTTCACTGGTACTTTTTGTCTCAGGTGAAAGCAAATCCAGGGCCAATAAGCGGAGGCCTGGCACCCATATACGGTGCTGCAGGGAAGATGCCCCATCGAGGCATGGTTCAAGAATTGCTGGTAAATTACATGGATGGTACATGCTAATGTCCGATATATGCAATGCCAAGCTGGTCTAGGCTGATCTTAAGATCTGTAAGAGTGCATCCCGGATCCAAGGGCTACAAATAACTAGAGTTCGAGTCTCGGCCTATGATGTTATTTATTTATTTATTGTATTCTTATCTATTCAGCCAAAAGTTAATGTATTGTACTTAAACAGTACGTGCACTGTGAAAGTTGTGCAAATGATATTAAAAGAAGAATAGAGTGAACAGAAGGTAAAAACATAACTCCTTTTTTCTCTTGGGTTTTACATTTTAATTAATTATTTCTTTCCAATAATACAATTTGTTATTATAATCATAAAAAAAATCATTATGTAATGATATATACGGTTTCTATCTTTCGGGCAAAACTAGTTTTAGACTACTGAAGATAGAAAGATCGGTGTGTTCGGTTCATCTATGTTTACATTTAATGTATGTTCACTACGTGAGACTGAGCTTGCACGGTTGGAATTTCATTTTCTTCGTCTGATTGAGTAACCGAAGAATTTAGATTCTCCTGTTGTTGCCTGCGGCGGTGACGATGGAGGGCGGTCATTACTTTAACCATGACACAGATTGGCAGGATAATTCCGGCAGTCCGAAGCAATAACAACTATAAAACAAAAGAAGAGGTAAGTTTATACTCTGAAAGTAGAGAATTGTTCTTATGTTCTTCAAATACATGGAGGAAATGGCTTACCGTAGATAACGGGAAAGTGTAGTCGTCGCTTCCGTTTAGTACGGAAGGAAGAACATGTCGTAAAACCAGAAGAAGCATAAACTGCAGGCGAAAAGCACGATAAATTAGAAAATCTGTGTATTTCTCCTTCGAAATGGTATACGATGTCTGTGTTCCGCAGTTGTAAGAAGTCGAAACACAGTAAGACAAACTTACGATTATAGCAACGGTACGGTAACCTATCGAGCTTCTTGTCGTCGATGCTAAGTATTCATCGTAGCCAGAATCCAGTAAGCTATGATTGGTCGAGACCACTGCTATGACGCGAGGATTGTTCAACTCCCTCCTAGAAATCTGCCAGTTCCCCCTGATAAAATTTGTAGAGAAAAATGAAGCACTTTAAAATCTCTTAACCGAACCAGAGGTACTTAATACCTAAACAGCCATACTTTAAACATAAGTTACCTGAAATTCATCGGAATACGCCCGATATGAAACAAGGGAGGTGGTGCGGTGTAGCCTGGCTTAAATGCTGAAATGCAGAAGATTTATGATCACATAAGTTCGATCTAACGTAATGCAACAGATACAACTATACCGATAAAAAACTCGCATCCTATACCCTCGAACAAGTAACGAAATGTAAAATACTTAACCTGAAGGCATATTTCACAGGTAATGTTGCCCTTTTCATTGCACCATCTTGTATACATCTGCGATGAGCATACTGAAACAAAGAAAGAGGGTAAGTTGAAGAACAAAGAGTTATGCATCTTCAAAATCACCACGGAATTGGAACTGATGATATTCTAACTTCCAACCAGCAAAATCTACATAAAATTCATTCATCATTCACTGAAGACCGGAGACAAGTTATCATCGAGAGCTCAAGGTGCATATAGGTGCTAGAATCCTTGCATTACATGACGTGCAAGATGTTGCGAAAGTGCGAATTCGGGTGAAGTAAGGTTCTATATGTTTATACGTAAGGCTAAGATATATAATAAGAAGCTCTAAAGAGAGAACCAATTTATAGAACATGCAAAATTTTCACTTCTGTTTCGTAGCACTAAGCGAAAAGGCTAGTCGCATGCCGTGACAACACTGCAATCATTCACAGTGAAAGAATTGTTGGTTTTAAGTTTCTCTAACCTTCAAGCTGCCAGAACAAGAACAAGGGGTCTCCATGCTTGAATCTTCATCTTCATCCTGACATATCCGACACTCGACGATTTTCCCCGGGGTCGACGATTTCGGCTTCGGAGAAGGATTGAATACATTTGTGTCATCAAATGCAATGCTGTGGCATGCAAGGACCGGTTCGTGCTTTCGATTGCAGCTTCCAATGTGGATTCAGTCAACAACCTGTCCACTAGTAACACAAAATGATCCCCCATAGATGCACAGAAGAACACACAATAATAGTTTTGATAAGGTTGTCTTGTTTACTTCCTCCTGTGTGAAAAACTAAGAATCATTAGAAACAATTCAACAGCCAACTCATAGAAAAGCTGAGAGGAAAATTTCCCCAGAAAAAATGGTACAAAGTACAAACATTAAACCAAAAGGAAAAGGATTGAACGGAAATTAATGGTACAGCAACAACAGCTCAATATATTGAAGCACAGACTAATATAGAAGTTAAAACTTCAAATTTCTTTTTCAAAAAGTTCGAGTAGAGTAAAAAGCAAACGAATAGGCATGAACCCATTGAAGAAAATACATCCAAAAACACTCTAAAGTTAAACAAAATAAAGAAAAGGAAAGTACCCAGAGAAGCCAAAAAGAAAGGGTCCTTTACCAAGCATAAATCATGACAAAGAAAAGGGTGGGGGAAGGGGGAGGAAGAAACTTACAGGAAAGGGATCGTTTTTGTTCAAGCAAAGGAACCTCCTTTTCTTTCCTCCTCTGATTTTTTTTTTTGTGAAAATGAAGCTCTGGGTTTTCTGAGTAATGAGTGTATAGTTCAAATTCACAAAGTTTCTGGGTTTTAAAGTCTGGTGGCAGGAAGAAGAAGGTTCCTGAGATTAGCATCCCGCGTTTTCTAGTTAAACAACCCCTTGCTAGTCCTGGCGGCTTGGGCTCGATGCAGGTGACCAGGCATAGTCAAAGCAAATCTTATCTTTGACATCCACACAAATCAAATTTCATTTCATTTGATCTTAATTTAAAAATAAATAAACAAATGCTATTTTTTTTCTAGAAAATTTTGGGTCAAAAGAGATGAACCATACAGGCAGATAGGGTTGTTCAGTTTGGACAACACCCAGATAGTATTTGTTTTCAGACCGGCTAAATCGAATTACTTGTACATAATAGAAATAATTAATTACGTTTAAATTTATTAAAAATGAGTTTTGCAAGCCGATCCTCGTTAATTTAAAAGTTTAAGTATCAAATTTAATTTTCGAATTTTTTTTTTATAGCGCTACAGATCTAGTTAAAATCAGTTGGTGAGATAAGTTAAAAAGGCATTATGAAATTTTAAGATTAAATTTTGAAATTTCTAAAAGAATTTAAATTAAAAATCGGATTTAATCAAGAAGGGTAATTTGTTTGTTGCTCCTAGTGGATTCGACAGTAATAGGTCTAGAAATTTTTCGAAGTTGAATAAATATATATTAATAAATAATTTTTTCGTATAGAATAAACATGAAGATGGTCACAAAATGGATATACAAACATGGTGTCGTGAAACCTATTAAGTGATTTCGATGATGAAAGATCAGTGAACCTATTAAGTGATTTCGATGATGAAAAGGACGTTGATCTTTACAAAAAATTTAAGTGCAAGCAGTTATATTTATAGAATACATGTAATTACTAATTAAGAACAATTCTAAACAGATGTTATTTTTATCAACATCCCATACTAGGAATGGCAACGGGTCGGGTTCGGGGTGGGTTTTGCTCGCTCGTCCCCGAACCCGAAATGAATCCCCATCCCCAACCCCGACGGGTTTTTATCGGGCACCCTGTCGGAAATTTTTTTTGCCCTGTCCTCGAACCCGACCCGAATATATACCCAAACCCGAAAATATTTTATATATAATTAATAAAAATATATATATTATATATATAATTAATAAAATATTATATATATATAATCGGAGGCATTTCATAATTCGGGGGTCTCTTACGGAAGCTGCTCTCAACTGGTGGGGGTAGCCTACTATCTTACCTCCCCCTTACCCCATATATATTGGAAAAAGAACAGCCATTTTTTTTATAATCGGGGCGGGGCAGGGATACCTTGCCCCGAACCCGAACCCGACCCGAAAAAATCCCTGAAAAAAATTTCCGATACCCGACCCGATATCATTCAACCCGAACTTGACTGGGTTTCGAGTTTTCCGTTGGGTTCGGGTCATATTACCATCCCTATCCCATACTACTCTAAAAAATATGTATGTCATGAGAAAATGGGCCAAGAGAATGGGGAGCCGAACCACATTGTATGATTAGCCCAACGTAAACTTTGATGAACTATATGATGGGGCGGATTGCCTTTTGTAATTTTGGGGTACAAGGCTATTGGGCCTATGGGGCAAATATTTGAAGTGCCTTTCATTGATCATCAATGAATCCAAATTGGTCAAGCATTTGGGCGCAAGGTTTAGCCATGCCCGTCGAAGTCGTCCCGTTTTGCTGGAAATACACCGCAAACAAACTCCGGGACGTGTTGGAGGATTCCGGTTGCGTTGCTCGGCTGAGGAAGGATTGTAAAGGGAGCCATTTGTGAGTGATAGTGGGAATTACATCGTGGATTTGTATGTGGAAGAGATGGGGGATCTGAGGGTGGCGAGCGATGCTATTCTGAGGATTGCTGGTGCTGTTGAACATGGGATGTTTCTTGATATGGCTGCTTCTGTTATGTTGCTGGTGAGCTTGGAATCACCATAAAAGACGAGTAGGGTTTTACATTTCAATTCGTTCACGATAAAAGACGAGTAGGGTTTTTACATTTTCAATTCGTTCACGATAAGTTACTTCAGTTAGATTGTTAACTTTAAAGGTTTCCGCTTCATTTCAACATTAAAAATTAAATGGTTAATGAAATCTTTAAATAGATACTTAATCATCCTACATTAATAAAAAATAAATTCGTAGAAAAAATAAAATTTATATCATAAATTTTTTGGGGTAAAATATATAATAGTCCCTCGATTATAGATACTACTTTATTAAATCCTTCGATTATTAAAATGATCATTTGATTATAGAGTGTTGCTTTATTGAGTCCATCGACTATTAAAAATTACAAAACTGTCATTCGACTATTCATTATGTTCCAAATTCATCCTTCTTGTTAACAAAATTGATGGTAGTCTGAATTAAAAGTTAATATAATGACTAAAATATGACAGTTGTTTGAGATTTTAAGATCATATTTTATCATACGTAGTCAACATGTTAATATTCAGTTTAGATTTAAAAAGCAACAATCTATAATCGGAAGATCATTTTATAAATTTTAATAGTCAATAGACTTAATAAAGTAGTACCCTCTATATTTTTATTTGATTTAATCTAATAATTATTCTTCAATTTGAGTATTGCTTCTAGTAACTATATAATATATACTACAACATATTAAGACATAATCAAATACTTATTTTAAACGTTTAAGGTCCGTTTGGTAATGCTTTAAGCACTTTTAACCAAAAAGTTCGTGTTGACCGCAGAACTAATGTCGAACAGTTAAAAAAAAAATTGCGGTAGAAACGGTGGTTTCAAACTAACTGCAAAAACTAGAATTTTTAATTTTTTTCATTTTCAACTTCATGTTTGGAAGAAAATTATAATTTAGCTTATTATGCATGAGCTCCATATATTATGTATTTACATTTATTTAATAATATACTATCATCCTTAAAAAATAATTTTAATAATATAATACTATCATCCTTAAAAAATAATTTATTATTTGAATAAGTTATTTTAATTATTAAAATAAATAAAATTAATGATTTATATTAAAATATAATAGTGAGTTATATAAAATATTTTTATATAATGATATTTTTATTTGTATTTTATATTTTTATTATATTTTAAAATTGATATGATTAATATATATATATATAAGTGTAAATATAATTTAAATGTTATTTTTAATTTACAACATACGTTTATAATGGACATTTATCTTTTTTAAATGTATTTTTCACAATAATATTAAGGAGTTAAATTTTATTAAATTGCACTTTTGTATAACATTTTAAAGTTATATACATAACTTCAAAATCACTTTTCAAAAGCTATATCAAAGTTATATATACTATCACTTGTAATCATCATAAATTAATAAAAAAAGGTTAGTTAACCATTCTTCTTTTATTAAATTATTTGATCATTAACGTTTTATTTTTATGTAAAAAAAATCTCTCTATTAAAAAATTATAAGTGTAAATATTTAAAATATAGACATTTTTATTCTAAAATAAAATTTTTGGGATCAAAATATCTTAAAAAGAGAATAAAAGTTAAAATAACTGTAAAAAATTATCTTAAAAAGAACAGTTAAAAATCAAAATACATAAAATAAAAATAATTATTTAATTAACATTATAATAAACATTTGATTTTAAATTTTACATCCTTAATATTTATTATACTTAAATCGAAACTTCAAAAAATAATCATTTGGTTCATATAAAAGATGTAATTTGTATTAAGCAACATGAGTAAGTGTCGTTTGGATAGATAAACATATCAAATTTAAATGTATTAAGCAACATGAGTAAGTGTCGTTTGGATAGATAAACATATCAATTTAAAGAATCGTAAATTCATCCTAGCCAATTACGCATACATGAAGCAAAACTGCCGCCGTTGAAGTGGGCAAGCTAAACAGAAGAAGAACCCCCATTCCCAAAGCAACGCCGGGCCTCGTCTCCATCAGCTTCGATGCAAACTCCCACCGCTTCACAAACATCCAGTCGTACTCTCCCTCTTGTATTCTTTCTCCACCATCCAATGCGGCGGAGGCCCGTCACTTTCTCCGCCGTCTTCATCTCCTGATCCGCTTCCTCACACGATCATACTCTCGTCCACTGACTTCCCGTCGAAATCGTGACTGTACGGCTCATATCGTTTTCGACTTCTTGCTTTACGTTACCGTTTTGGTTTTTGAAGTCCGTTCTCCAGTATATCGGATTACCGCTGAACGGACTTGGCGGAAGAAGAGCTGAAGTTGAGGATTTACGAAGAGAGCCGATTGTTGCTTCCATGTTTCTTTTTCTTTTTTGGATGTTATCTGTCGAATGGAGATGGTAAAATGAATGGTACAATGGATTTGTGAAGATCGAGTATTTATAGAAGAAGATATGGCCGTTATTGAGGCAAAACGTGGAATTTTCGAGATTTATTTTCCCGGAATTTTCTTTTTTC